TAATGGAGTGTGCTGCACACCCTCTCCAATGTGAATTTACACTCCTCCCATTTGGGAGACGCCTCTGTGTCCCCAGGTGCAATGGTAACAGACATTGCAAAGCTGAAATAAAAATCGACTTATAGAAAATAAAATCTCCTCTAAAAATATTTACTAAATTGAGCATACGGGAATTACAGAACAGTGATATACTAGAACATTAACTCACTATTCGACTAAATTAAATGATGAACAGTATTTTAAAATTTGTTTAAAGCTCTCTGCAGTATATATTGTAAGGGTATCACTACACTGTATGCTCAACTTAATCTGATAGTAATACTTTAAATACTACCTATAGTGTGCATATGAGGCTGAACAAAGGGCAATGGATTATGGCCTATTATTACTATCATTATGAAGGTTTAGTAGTACAGCAGGTCATCCCTTGGTTGGGGTGCAATGACAAAATGGGCACCACTAGAGGCCGCCTGGGGGACAGTTTCTGGGACTTTTCTATACTTCACCTGTGGTTGATGGTTTGAGGTTTTTATTGAATGGAATATTGTTACATTTGGATAAAAGGGTGTTCAGTTGTCTAGAGAGAGAGTTACATAGAGAACCGGAAAAAAATATTTATATTTAAACTTTTTAGGGACTGCCAGTTGGGATTCTTCATTTTGAGGACTCTTTTAACCATTACAATGAAGCATTGATTACCACAGGATTTTCTAATGGCATTTGTGTTGGAATGTTCTGCAAATTTCCCATGAACGATGCTCTCTGACCCTGGGTCATTGCATAGTAGGTAGCAGGACTTATTCTAAGAGAGATGAGCACTTTCAAAACCATACTGATCAACATGTGCAACTCCCACCCTGTAATTTCTTGCACACTGACCCTCAGCTGCAAAACATGCTCAGATTTCTGAAATGCCAAAAGCAGCCCCTGTCCACTACTACGTGTAGTCTTTCTACTGACACAGCAGGTTTTGCAAACAAGTGAGGGGTTTAACAGACTCGCTCGGCATGCTAGTCAGAGCCGAAGCTGGGAAAACAATGTCAGAGCAGTTTTGCTGCACGAGATTCCAAGCATTCCACATTGTCGACTATTTACTTTGTGCTGCCAAATTCTAAATGTTTTTTTTCCACAACAGCAGCCGCTATTTGTAATAGCAATTTAACTCTTTTGGACTTTGAGGAAAAAAAAGTTAGCATGCAAAACTAATGCAAGCTTGTTTGTAAATTCAACTTGTTTAATACAGATGTATGCATTTGGAAGCATCTTTGAGAGGCATCGAACAATTACAGGAGGGCAACAGCTTTTTGTTACTTTATTCCAGCTTAATACTGACAGTGATTTAATTACTGGCTCATATGGATGTAATACTTTTGAAAGTCTATTAAAACTGAGGGTTTAAACAAAACTTGTTGGAAAATGCATGCAGTCCACAGTCACTCCCATGATGGCAAAAAGCTTGTAGCATCCAGCCAAACTGATTAACAAATACTGATTTCAAAATTATAAAAAGGGTTATAAAAAGACAGTATTTATAAAAGACTCTTATTTCTCTTTTTTATTTTTCATGGAGAGGGGTAATAAAGACTCAGGAAGGAGCACACAGAAAAGCTAGTAACCCCGGATGGACACAAAGTATTTCACAATGGGCCTGACACACAGACTATACAACTCATTCAAAAACACCTTCATGCAAAAAATGAATCTCTGACCTTCCTTAATTTTTTAGGAACCTGCTTTTGAGATATGTTTTTTTAAGGAGGAAAATTACACTCTCTTCCATAAAAGCTAATTATAAAAACTAAAGCCAATCTCCACAAACCCCACCTAGCACTTACCTGGTTGCTTATTAGCAAATACATTACGAACATTGCATATTTTTGCATACAATATTTCAAAATAAGTGTGTGTGTTTTTGAAGAAAACAGATTAACTACTCAGATGGAAGTTGATTATTTCACTCATTCTCTTTAAAATGCCCAAACTGAATCAAGCAGACAAACCCAAACTTGCTTTGTGAAACTGCAGCTTGTAACGACATGGAGACGTAACGACAACTCACTTGATATCTAAAATCATTACGACATATTAAGAAAGGCAAGTATGTAAATTTAATTACGTATCTGTCCCCATTTACCTGCCTGGTATGAAGTTCCCAGACATTAAGGGTTTCAACAAAAGGAAGAAAAAAACATCTTTACAATCACAACATGCAATCACTTCCTGAATGCCTAATAAAAAAACCCCTTAGAATCGCCAGAGGGGTCTACTGCTTGGAAGTATAGTAACAACAACAGCATAATAACCTGTGAACGTAGTGCAGCTGGTGGACAGAGTCGATGGCCAGCACCATTTCTGCCAAGTAGAAGCGAGCCATGTCCTCTGGTAACCGGTCCTCAAACTTACTGAGCAGTGTCAGCAGGTCTCCCCCCACATAGTAATCCATGACCAGGTACTGCGGAGGCAAGAAGGAGGTGTCAAGGCACAGATACACACTTGATATTTTGTCAAAACATATCGCAGTGTGTCTGGGGTTGGATTCAAGCTAGGATGCAACACAATAAATTGCCACTGCAGTATCGGATGAAATAAGCAATACTCTGTTATGATGACTGGTTCAAACAGTGGCAGCACAGGTTTTTAATTCCTTTAAGTAACTGTTATTGCTTTGTGGGATACTGGAATACTGTTGTATATAGATGCACATGTCAGTGATGCTAGTCAATTTTCAACACGAACTGTCACACAAATAAAATACAACAAATAGAGCTGGATTATTTTAAATTGCTTTTTTATTGGAGTATTTGAAAAATAAAGTATGGAGTCTGCCTTAAAAAGAGGCTACTTCCAAACCAAAATTATATTAGGACGTCAATGACATCAACATCTTGGCTAGTGTGTGAATTTTACTGAGCCATTCTGGAGAGTGGTATGAGTTCGAGTAAGAGACTGCAGAAATTTTGGTTTATGGGCAGTACTTCCAACTGACATTAAATTGTCCACTGTGCAGTATCTTAGAGGAAGCAGATAGAGGACAAATAATCAAACTGTAACTATTAAAACTAGTAGTGTAATCTATAAGAACACTTTCTAATTATAAACAGCACTACCTCCTAGTCACAGAATAGCTTATTTGAGCAAAAATACCCTCACTCAGTCCTTCAATGGAATGAGACTATAAGCTCCATGCACATGCCCAAATCCTAGAATGCTTTGAATCCACTCCAGTTTCTCTTCAGAATATTCAATTCTACAGAGCACCATTTGTATGGACAGCAATCATGCTACTTTTAAATGTGTAAATTAAACCAGCGGTAAAATGGATTTAAAATCTCAGATATGTGACTTTTCACATGCAAAGAAAAATCTAATTAAGTGTTTCAAATCAAATTTGGGATTCCTTCATCACTTCTGAGCCTGTGGCTCCACCAAAACATATACAGTAAATACATAACTTATTGTCTACCGGTTACCACAGGAGGACTGAGATTTAAAAGAAAAGGGAAGTGCTCCTCCACATCAACAATCTACACCCAGCTGGACCTTCTAGCTAATTACATCCTTCCGAAATAATGGCAAAGAAAATAGCCAGGAAGAGTAGCTAATGGTCAGATTCCTTTTCCCAGCAATTTGCCTTTGATTGAAGAGTAACTATGGTTGAGAAATAAAAATCTTGGAACTGTCACAAAACAAATACATAGAAGCAATTCCTTATTTAAGATACTGAAACAGGAAATCAACAAAGCCTGGCGCATCTGGATCTGAATTCAGAATGAGTTCAAAATGACGCCAGTGTTAAATGTAGAACTTCATTGCCAGGATATATTATTTTTGTGTCTTAAAAACAAGAATATGTTGCCATTCCTTTTTCACTAACACATAACTCAAAGGTTAGGGATCAAACAACGAGACATGTTTTGAAAGCTGCACTCTCTTAAATGCCATAGTCGTTGATCATTGTTTCACTTCTAAGGGACCATGTATTGATATATCCAGGAATATGTTTAAAGAAATAAATTACATTTCTGTGCAGAATACTAACTTAATGTATTACTATTTACATTAACAATTCAGAAGCTTGGGGTTAATATAATGAGTTGTTAATGGACTAGGAGAATACTATGAGAGTGTTACTGCAGGTCAGTGATATTGAATGTTTTAAGAGAATGTTTACTCCACATGTGCTTCCAGCTCCTTAAATGGCTTAAATATTTGACTAACTAGACAAGAATAGTGCTTCTTTCAAACCTTTAGAACATGCATTTTTAAGTCTCTGTGCCAAGATCTTATTATTGAAGATCTTCTGATATATTAAATGTGTATTTGACCAAATAATATATTTTATTAAGTAACTTAAAACTCTTAACGTAGAACTAAATGGAAACAAGCCTGTATCCTTCAAGGACTTAAACTTGACAACTGTACTCTGTATATAGGCATTATAAAAATACATTTTCAAAAATCAAGATGACATTGCCCTACCATGCTCACTTCTTGGCTACTAGCTGATAACCCATTTCTGCAACTTCCTGTCAGTTTTTTCTTGGATGCAGGTCTTATTTTAATTCGTTTTACTCTTTCTGCCTGCTGTCAAGAGGTGTATGGGAGGATCAATGAAACAGCATCTATTTATTGCACATGCGCTAAGTACCGTACTAACACACTAACTCTTATTCCTATACATTGTATCTTTTGTCATTAAATTTAAGAAGTCTTCTCAGTAGCCAATTAGGTCAGAATCACTATTATGGACAACAGTGGAAAGTGCACAACACCAAATATAAATCATACTATACAGTTTAATGTTTATACCAGTAATTCAGTTTTATTACAGTTTTTACATTTTGCACATCTAATGCTCTACATTGTGGAAAAAAATGTTTCAAAGCTTCATTAGAGTTCTTTTTATTTGGAAGTAATGATTACTATAAAGTAAAAATAATGAACACAAACATCTCAGCTGTCGCTTCTAGTGTTGGAACTAGAACTGTGGTCTACTGCAGCATAAATTAATCTGATGACAGCATTTTCAATAGTTACAAGGAGTCCATTTTAACAGTTAATTACAGTTGCCAAAAGCTATTGAAAAAAATGTGAATGTTGGCACTTAAATTGCAAATGCCACGATGAATAATTGTTAATAAAAAACAGATTTAAAAAGATTATTCAAAGCTGACTACAGGGTTGAATTAAAGGGAAGCAAATACGTATGCATATTATGCACAATAAAAAAGGAAAAAAAAGTCTTAAAATCAGGAAGTGAAGAGAGTGGAAAAGCAAGACTTTCATTTGATGTCCGCTGGAAATATCGAACATATTTACATCTCAGCTTTATCTAATTAACTTCAGCTACTACTTGTGATTTGAATGAACTTTATTGTTATATTCTTTTTAATCAATACACATTATTTGGCAAAGGAACTCCATGGTGACAATTATATTACAAAATTCAAATTCATTCTTAATAAATGCAGATCCCACCTTTGTAGTAAACTTTATGAAGCCTCTACATTTTACATCTTAATGTTTGTAAAAAGCCATTCCCGTCACATTATTAACGATGAGTCCAACGAATACACATGTCCATTTTTGCTAAAATGTTTTGTCCCGGTGTTTTCTTTCTGTTTTGCCCCATTGCGGTCTTCATCAAGATAATCAAGCCCATGGAAGATGGCTTTCTCTACTATCACAAGTCACATTAAGTGCAGATACTAGAGCTTATGTTTCTTCGGTAGGGCTGGTTTTCTTAATTATAAATGTATCCATCTCTAAAAGACATTGCTCTTGTTGGTTGATTCATTGACAGCAGTGCACAGGCACCTTTTAAGATCAAGGTCAGTTGTTTATAATTGTTAAATTATAATTCAACCGAATCAAAATAAGCTGACAGTCAGACAAGCTGACTATGGAGTATGGGACAAGACATAACAGTTATTTATACTTATGTAAACACAGTCCTATGGTAGGCAATCAAATGTGCACAAAGTAAAAATATATTTACCCCTGCTCTAACAATGACATCAAAAATACTGGGAATGCTTAAGCATATACAGTTTGTTGATTAAAGTCCCAAAGTAGTCTTCTCCGTCTCAGTTAAAAAGACACAGTACGTTCAGGCTGTATAAGTATGATATGCCTTTAGGCTAGGCGTTTGTCTGGTTTATCTTGCTTGTACTGCCTCCAGAGCAGTATTATATATCCTACAGCACAGCAACCAGAACAAAACACAATATCTCAAAGACACCCAAGTCACACCTGCATGTTAAATATTGCATTTTTCAATACACTCAAATATTTTATTTTGTATTTTTCCCCAAACTGCCTAAGGTTTTAAAGAAAGTGATGAGTCTATAGGTTACCACCGTACCTGTCTCACATATGACTTCCTCCAGATGAGCACCCATTTGATATAAAATCCTTCTTGCATTTTTAAATTATTGGTATCACCCACTATTATATAATATGTGAATTTGAAAAACAAATTAAATCCTATATATCTGTTTAAATACTTGATGTATTTTAGGAAGAACAGTGCTCTTCTACAAGTCTTTGCCAACACGGCTGGTTAGCATGCTCAAGAGTCTTTGTACAAAAAATGCCTTCAGTTCTCTGTGCACTTCCCCTTTGTATGTAGGTATTCCCTCTTCTATATATTTCACTGTTGAGTATGAAGAAGTGCTTTGGGCAGCATTTGCAGATGCTGATTACTTGACTCAAATGCCCTCATAGTCTTCACTGGTTGAGATTAAAAAGGTTCAGTTTTTAAAGTCTCACACTTACCTGGACTGATCTGAGAGCTGCACAATCTTTTTTTGCAATGTGCACATTGATATACAGTGCCTTGAAAAAGAATTCAGACCCTTGAATACTTTTGCAAGGCACTGTATATATTAGTTCAGGTGGGTAGCTTTGTCAGCATGCGTAGGCTGCAAAGGAACACGTAACAGGTTTATTCAATGCTGAAAAGAGAAGAAAGAAAACACAACGTTTTGGCTGTGGAGCCTTCTTCAGGTGTGAGGGGTCCTTCAGGCTCACACCTGGAGAACGCTCTACAGTCAAAACATTGTGTTTTTTCTTCTCTTTTCAGCATGGAATAAACCTATTACTGTATATATTATATCAAGTACATGGCTGCACAGACAAGACAGGAGTATGTCTTATCGCTATTAATCTGGCCTGCATTATTCAGGAAGTGAGTGTCCATTCAAAACACCAAGAATGCCTAGATGTTACACTAATACCTTTCAATAGTCCCAGGTTTGACTGTATTTCTCAAGACAGACCTGTACAGATACTCAACAATCCTTCAAAATTTCAACATGTACCACAGTACTTTGCAAAAGCAAAGTTGTGGGAGCTGGAGTAATTATAAAATATACTTTTCATCCTAAGCAGTCATTTGACATTTAAGTCATATGTCATTTACTCACTAAGTAATTTTCATCCTGGAAGGCATAGTGCAAAGTTGTGATCCACTGGCTGTCTCCGTTTACCAGTACGTCTCTCTCTTCCCGAAAGCAGGCCGTCTGAAAAACAAAATCAAAATGAGTCATTTTTTATTTTAAAGACTTTTATCGCTTTTAAAGACTTGCAGAAAATGACATTTAATATTAGAATAAGAGAAGAAATGTAAAATGTCTGCTCCACACATAACTATTACTTAGTATCTATCATTTTTTACGTATCCATCAGGGAAAACATGCACGAGGTCCTTTTAGGTGAAGTCAGAATGGATGTACCGTGTACTCTTAAAATCTAGGGTCAAGTTTGTTTAACAGAGTCAATACACATTAAATAAAATGTATATGCTGTTTGTGTATTTTAAAGAGCTTTTTGTTTAGTTTTACTGTTATCATTGGTTTTTGGACAGTAAGCTATAAATATGAAACAATTTGAATATACTGTATCTTTATAAATTATTGTATAATTTGTATTAAAAACAATTATATTTGAGCAATCAATAAAACCTCAAGAAATGGCCAACACTTACCCAGGCCATGGTACCGTGATAGCTAATGGTACACTTCATATTACAAAAACATTACTGCAAGCAGCTGACAAAATAACTGCAAGTAGAAGAATCCGAAAGAGCTCCACCATTAAGAAATACGCTATATGAAGAAAAAGCTCTTTCTGACGGTAAAGAACTTTGGGTCATGCAGTAAGCTAACACCTACTGAGTGCAGCCAAAATATATGTCAATATACTGCATACTGAAACTGTTAAAAGTTGTAAACATATAATTTACATATATTTTTAATTTAAAAAATGGATCCTAATAGGATGTCACAGAAGTACTGTGTGGAACAAGGATCAGATAAGACCAGCACCGTTAATGTACTGCACCTTAAAATGATTTTTGTTTTTCATACATATTGTAGTACATACCTAAAATACACTTTCAGATGTTTCTGTGGCCTTCTCATCCAAATGAGAGAAGACATTCAGAAAACAATAAAACCTCTTACTACACTTGATTATATGACCTAATACCAATTATACTCAACAAAAAAATACCTACTACAGCTAACTAACTAAAGATTAACACATTATGTAAATGGATATTATCTTTGTTACATACTAAGTAAAAATGTTTTTTTATATATATATAATTGACTGCATTGCAGGTCACTACCACTCAATAGAATGGTTTAAACCAGCAATATTTAAAACTGAGAATTTTAAATCATAATATACAGTGCCTTGCGAAAGTATTCGGCCCCCTTGAACTTTTCAACCTTTTGCCACATTTCAGGCTTCAAACATAAAGATATAAATTTTTTATTTT